TGTATATTTCAAAAAAAAAAAATAATTTTAATACACTCTACTACGCATCACCTAAATTTAATGCTTCTTATCGATACATAAAAAAGCAAAGGACTGTCTAGATAGTATTTTTTTCTATTTTTACCACAACATGGCGTATATGATACCCCAAGCACTTCAACTGATATTGAAGATAAAATGTGTATTTTTATTACAGCGATTCGACGATCATTTAAGGCACAGAGAAATCTGTGAAATTCCTACACGGATTGGAAACTTAGCACATTGGAAACAACACCAGCTGGCCTGAATTTTTAAAGGTGATTTTCTACATGAGAATACATTTTGTATTAAGGTGACCAAATTAAATATGATTATTTATCTCAATTTTTTCAATTTCCAATTTTCAAATATTAACACATTTACGTGTTTAACTAACATTTGTCTACGACCTCAATTTCATATCGCTCCTGTCTCCCCACCTTGTGACGTAGTAGGTGTGCGCACCACAAAAAAAATAAGCAAATTTATAAAGAAGAAGTTATCACAATTTCTCGGGTTTAGCCAAATATGTATACAGGACTACTTGTGATTCTTGAATACAATAGAAGGCCTTTCCTTGTCGTATCTCATCTATTCGGAACAACACTCCCCATTCAGCACCAAGAACATGGAGTGGTCACTGGGGAGAGTGAGTCATTATTCATTTCTTCCTACCTTCATCCTTTAATGGATCGATGTGCCGAGTTGGATACACAGATACAGCGGAAGACACACAAACGTACCAAACTTCAAACTCACATAAAGACTTCAGACTCCAAACTCCAACCTCACATAAAATAATTTGTAGTCCTAGCGAAGAGACTTTAGTATTGGGTACTAGTTGTTTGGCACAGGACAATGTATTACAACTTGTCACTAGGTTTCTCGAACCCTTTTCAAAATATTTATGATTTTAATGAGAATATTTCACTGAAGAAACCTATGAGTATCCTTTAAGAATTTTACATGCTTTCTCGCCCTCATGAAAAAATCTGTTTATGATCTACCTCGCAAGTATTTGGTAGATGGGGGGTAAACTCGGGGCTCCTGAGGAATACGGCCAACTTCAAACGGCTGTCACCTGTCAGTCACGCTTGTTTGGCTCCACGAATACTTTTTGTCTTCCCGAGGGCAACGACCGAGGCAATGAACACTTTATCATAGAAACTGGACATTCAACGCATACACGCAAAGATTGCCAACCTCATTACACGATTCGCAATAATTTATATTCAAATTTTGAACATGTCTGTGTTCCCATATCAAAACCACGACTAAATTCCGTCGAGAATATACTTCACTAGGTCATGAATCCAAATTCCACGCTAGACTTCACTGGCCGACCTTCGTTCACGTACAGCAAAAGTCTCGCAAGTATTCCTCCAAGAGTTGTATAGTATTACGCCATCGACCAACTCTCCTAATACGCCGTCGTCCCAACCCACCAGCGCCGCATAAACGCGAGCCCCCGCCAGTGACCCGTAAGTTTCGCGTGTTCCGCCACCAGCGGCCGCGGCCGAGACCTTTCGACGGCTAGGACCACGGCCACCATCACACCCAGAGGCGGCGGCGGCGGCGCAGATCGCCTTTTGATGAGCCCGCGCCGGCCGCAGGACAGCGCGATGATTTATGAACGCGCCCCTTGCGGCCGCGTGGGCGCGACAGGCGCCGGCGCGTGTTTGGTCGATGTTGCGCCCGCCGCACGCGGACTCGCCCGGCCCGGCCCCCTCGCAGGAGGGAAAGACGTGATTTACTGGGCGGGAAATGAGCTTCGAAGAATACGATTCGTATAAGGGGGTGCGGCGGACTTGAGACGGAACAAAAGCAGAGAGTTTCAACATGAAGACATCCCTTTGCTTTAATCCAGTGCCATACCATATCGTCGGACTTGGTAGCGCACGGGTAGAGTCGCTATTTTTGTTTTGTTTTGTGTTTTGTTTTTTTGTGCTAATGACAAAAGCGGGAAACACCAAAGTAATGCGATTTCATGTTTTCTTAACGAACTGAATTGTTGGGACTCAGAATTCAATAATTATTTTCGCGACGAACAGCTTTAAATGGAAATAAGGCATTTTCATGATAAACGCGAAATTCTCGAAATAATTCGTTTGAAATTGCAAAACCAGAATGCAAATTGCATGTTTGCATGCATTGATGAAATGAGGTAAGAAGCACAGCAACGAGTTAAATATTCAGTTGTACAAATATTGCATCAAAGTACCTTAATTGATTCTCTGGCATTGCACTTCAGAAAACAAAATCGAGTTTATAACAGGATTTGTCGCAAATATATTATATTAGCAGCTAATAGTACGCTCCATTTGTTTGTATTTTACATGGGTAGTCTTATAATTAGCGTTAGCATATAATTAAAAATTGAAAAAAAACAATAACGAAAAAAAAGCTTCTGTGCAGACGTTTCGTGATGCGCCCGTGAACGTGAAGCTGCAGGCTGCAGGTTCGAGTCCCACGGAAGGCGTGGGGTTTTCATCAATACGTTGTGGCACAGTCGGCTTGTACCGTTAACGCCATTCATTCGTCCCTTTATCTTCCTCGTAATCATTCTTTGCATCTTTCCTGCTAGGAATACGCCGGCAAAGAAAATCAGCTTTTTTTTTTTTTTTTTTTTTTTTTTTTTTTTTTTTTTTTTTTTTTTTTTTTTTTTTTTTTTTGGAACAATCATCACTTACAACTGATAGTTTAGTTCACACTGCAGGCTACGAGTGTCTTTTCGGCTCATGCTATCTACACTTGAAAACATCAATGACTTACGCGCGACTGACACCACAACAGAGCGGTTGCCGCAGCAGTGGACATAGATTATCTGGTCTCAGTAAACATGTTGACACGACAAATAGTATTTACATTCCTACACTATCAACTGTGGATTCTATTTATCCTAAAAGATCTCCTTGTGAACACTGAAGTTCCGCATATTTTGGAAGGTACTGTAATCATAATTGTTATTCTTTTAAATTCCGTTTTACCTTACCAATATAATAATTCTGAGGTATGCCATAGAAAACCACGGCGATGTTCAGGAAGCGAGAACACAGCGACAGAAACTCGCTCCTTCACTAAGCTCAGAAATGAGAATGTCACTCATAAGGTGGCCAGCACTTTGCGTTCGAAGAAGGAAGAAAACAAGCGCACCGCGCGAGCCGCCGCGCCCGCCTGACACACACCGATGCCGCCTGCCCGCGACGGATTTAGCTGGGCGGCGCCGCGACGCTCCCTGCGGCGGCGTTGCGTTTGGCAGCGCCCCGACGCGACGCCGCCGACGCAGGCACGCGCGTGTATTCCGGGCGGCGTCGCCGCCGCCGCCGCCGCCGCCGCCGCCGCAGCCGCCGCCACCTGCTCGGATGTGCACGCACCGGCACCCGCCTTCGCCCACGACGCGGAAGAGAACAACATTTGTCTCGCGTACACGCAGCTGCATCGGCGCCGCCAACATACAGCGCATGTGCCAAAGATGGCTTATAGTATCGTTGCCTATTACGTATAAGCCACGATTTCTAGTGAGCAGAAAGAAGACACGACTTCAAGTTCCAACCTGATCTCGCTCTGGGAGCTCTATTTCTCTCTCTCCAACAGCCGTCGTCCAGTCTTATCTTCAATCGCACTGTCCGCCAGCTGCTGCACCATCGGTGGGATCCATGACAGCGGTTGCCATCTCAGGCAAGACATCATCTCTCACTATTATAAAATGGTGCTCTGCTAAACGTTTCTCTTGAACTGTCTTGCAATATTTAACTTTGTGTCATTGAGGGTATACTACATTGTATTTCCTCCCTCCTCCTCGTATCTACGTTTTCCAACCTCAACCATGAATGTGATTTGGACGTGTAAGACACTTGTAAATCGGATGTGAAAATATTTTGTACATGGTATGTAAAAGGTTTCCTCTTGGGCTAATAAGAAAAAAATTGTTCACGAGAGAAATATGTTATGGTGGAATATATAATGAATATATATAATGGATCACGAGTAGTACTTTGAATATGTTGTACGACGTAACAAGTTTCGTGTGCAAGTCGGCTACACAATTTAATATCTTTGTTAAATGTAAGCAACTAAAATGCGACTTAATAAAACAAAATTTCTTAAGTCTTACGTAACTACTCTTTTTGAATCACCTCCCTCTTTTCATTGCACTTCACACGACGCATCCGTTGCTTCAGCTATCAATCAAAGTTATACTCGCGACCCGGAAGCCTCCCGGATGAAGTGGCACACGACGATGTATTGCTGCGTGCCTCATCGGTGACAAGTTACACTGTGTAACTTCTTATATGACGAGTGTATATGTAGCGATTTCTCTCTTCGTGAGTGATGAGCCACGCGGTATAAAAGTTAATGCACTACTAAAGTAGCATCATAAAAATATTTCTTTGACATGGAGTTTATTTTCAATTTAGACAATTAAAAGAAAACCACTAACATCTGCGAACAAATTTCATAAAAAATACTAAAAATGACTTACTGAGATGTAATGACATAATAGATACATGATATCAGATGAACATTCACCACTTTTGGTTTTGCTTACAGCAACATAACCAACCCACGAATTGAATTAATGAATAATTGCATTGAGACTCGGGCCATCAGGCCCGCTCTTCCGTCTGACCACGCAAATTTCCCTACGCTCCTTTCACAAACTAGGAGAGAAAGGTGGTATTTCTTGGGCGAGAAACAGGTGATTTTAATTTACCTCAGAGGCGTCATTTAGGCTTGAGGATCTTTTACATGCAAGTAAATCTACCAACATGGGACAGCCGGCTTTACTTCACCTCCGAAAGAAGGCGTACGAAAGATTTTTTCGCCCTTAAAAATCCGATACGCTAACCGTTGCACCATCGCCGCGCGCAAGACTTAAATCGATTCATTTGAAAACGTTTCACGCACATTTGAAAAGGAAAGTTTATATTAATCAACTTTAACCCTCAGATAGTATTAGTATCTACAGACTTACTAGACTAGTCCTCTTTAACATAACATATGTCGTCACCATATCCCACTTCTGCGACCAGCGACGCAGCACTAGTATCCTGCAGATTCCGCTCAACCAGAGAGCTGCAATCCACGTCAGATCCAACTAGAAAATGTGGCACGTTTTCACCTGTCTAGCCAGTGGCACCTGCCTTTCATTCTAGCACTGCATCATCATTCACCCATCTACATCCTTCATCATCACCTCTACTTCCATTGAGGGTAATAAGGAACTGAAAAAGTTGATACACTCAAGAGGGGGGCAGAGTGCTGTGCGAGGTAGGACGGAAAGGAGGGGAAAGAGTCGGATTAGACGGAAAAGGAGAAAAAAGAGATGAGATACAAAGCAGTGTAACAAGTTCATGTATATGTAAGTAAACGTAATGAAAAAGTTAGTAATGAAATGTGACATTTAATGAAATAAAATATAAGGTAAACGTAATTATGTTTCCCCCTAGAACGAATGCAACGTAGTGAGATGAGATGTAAGGTAATTCGTAACTAAGCGCGTTGTGAAGCACCAATTTCCCCACAAGTGACCCACCCACTTTCCTGAAACCCAGAGCGGTGACCGCCACAGAAACCCAGAGCCCAGACAGCTTATTACACCGGCACACCTTTCCCCGGCAAGGACGTTCGTAAACTGATTCATTTGTCACGCGTCGCTGGCTCGTTAGTGTCACGTGCCCGCAGGCGGTCCTGGAACACTCTGTTAATGACGCCCTCAACGACTTCATTCCCGGTTTTTGAATGGTTCGGGGAGCGCGTAAAGAGATTACGGCTCGAAGATCGAGACCATTATGAGCGACCACACAATGACATCGAGTTGTGTACAGTTGGGAGTGCGATCAGACAGGCTGCGAGACTCTCCTCAGACGGATAGCAATAAACGCGAAACTTCGTCGCCGTATGGGATCGCGTCTATTGTGCGGAGCGCTATGTGGAGGTCGTTTCGTAAACCATCGAGCAATTCGCGTGTAAGTAATGTGTCTTTTATGACAGTTGGCAAGCTTGCTCGGTGCAGCCGTTGCTTTTTCATTGCCGCACTTTGGCAATTCCGGAGAGGACACGGCGAATTTAAAACAATAATGAATTGTAAAAAAAATGTAACTGCTGATATGATTTTTATGCAATTTCATTAATGAAGGCGCTACACAAGTGGGATATTGTTACGATATATCAAAAATCCATGTGTGACTTCATAGTGAGAAAAACATTGCAATCGCTCTTACAAGTAAAATGGTATTCAAAATAAGTTATTATTTTTTTAATTTTTAAAATATTAGTTTGACTGAAGTAGATTTTGGTTTCATTCATCATATTTTGTGGGTGATGGAATCTTATGAACTGAATGGACTACAGGTAAGATCACGTATTCGTTGAGTAAATTATCACATGTTCAGTAGTTTCAACTTTTCGACACGTCAGTTTTCTGTGAAAGGCTGATGCTGTGATGTTTCGCAATACGCGACCGTCAAGATTGGAAACGAAAATATTTGAACGGAGTAACTTGTAGCAACGCCTTTAGTGTACACACTTTATTTGGTTAAGATCAGCAGGATATTGACTTCAGGTTTAGCTGAACCCCGTGGAAAAAGGTCAAAGCAGACTCCCGAGACTCCCCGGTGTGTAGAACGCAAGAACCCCAACAATTACGTCAACATTAAATATCGAACTTCATTTATCGTCTCCTCCAATGCACGTTAAGGCTTTTTCTTTCGGATGACGTAGAAACGGAAATAAATTGTTTACGATACATGGACGAAAATAGCAATGAACCTTGTATTTTCAAGAAATGTTTTCAAAAGAGTACTCTAGAAGGGAGGCATGTGAAATGTAGACCATAAGCCTCATAAGTGTTACTTTCCAATTCATTTCTCCAGCTACAGAAACTTGCTTTACATTCATTTCACAAATGGATGGAAAAATACATAAAAGAAGGTGAAGCGTAAACGAATTCTTCCACTTTGCACTCGCGTACGGAAACTTTAAAAAAACTTTGCATTTCATTTTCTGAACCAAGTGTTGTATTTTACGAAATCATTTCTGAAAATGACATAGCTTACGTTGGCATACAATGATCGTAAAAATCGAACTATAGCAACAACTTTAAACAATTATCTTAACGAGGAAGATTGCGAGCACGATACTTACGATAATTTATGTGGTAAGTACATCCGCGAATGTCGCAAACCTTCGCTATGACATCATCGACAGGCAGCGTTGTCACGAGGCGATAATTACTTGAGTGGTTTTAATCCAGTGAACGCAATTTCAATCGCGGGGGGGGGGGGGGGGGGAGCCTATGTCAGGAGAGCATCGGTCGCCTATCGGTTAGTTGCTGGGCGGAGGGCGGGGTTCATCACGACTGGTGTGTGTGTGTGTGTGGTGTGTGTAGGGGGGGGGGGGGGCGCGGTCTACCTGACGTAATCTTCTCCTGGAATGTGCGGGCCGCGGCAGGCGCGAGCGACGCAACAAGACAGGCAACGCGACACAGTAGGCGGCATCTTTGAAAATCGTGTTTGCGTTGACAGCGACGGTAGAGATGACAATGATGTTTTCTGAGGTGGTAGCAACGTGGTTGTAGTGATGGACATAGAAACGACGTCAAGCAGATCACGGAGATGATGATGATTTTATGGTCCGTATGATACCGTGCGATGGTAGATGGGTCGCTCTCCCCCCTCTTCCACTGCATATGTTTTATGCATATGCAATTGTATAAAAAACCGTGATTCCTCCATCCGAAGCCTCAAAACTCTCTAGTAACATAGGTGATGCAAGCGTAGAACAGCAATGAAAATTGGGTGCGCTAAGTTAATGAAAATAACAGATTGGGGTTAGTGACTACTACAGTCACTACCACCTACTACAAACATGCCGTCATTTAATAGATCTAAATTCTTAGTAATGCCACCTGCCAAAGCAAGATGAAAGAAAACAAAAACGTCAATATTGCAAACTCAAGTGATGATGATTTAACGTTTATCTTCCGAAAAACGCCGACATATATTATCAATTAAAGCGAAGCTTTCCTCGGTTCCAAACGATGTTTCAGTGTACTATATGTCACGTATTTCCTACTATAAATGTTTTATGTGGAATTTATAGAAGAATAAAGATCCTCAACGTCTTCAATTTAGAGATACAGGCGTAGGCCAACAATATTGCAGTTGCCAACTTTTCGAACCTACAAGAGTCGCTACAGTATATTGTAAATTCATTATTTTGTAATAATCATTGTATATTCATAACTTTAAACCTCGAGAACAATTTACGAAAACACATGTATGCAATACAATGGGCCGAGAGATACCATTATATTAAATTAAATTCACGTTTAAACACTACTAATTCTTAAAATGGTATTCATTCGTAACGAAATCATGCTTAATTGAGCCAAAAGTAGAAATGATGACTGCATGACTACAAGAATGTTTATTCAAGCACTACACATCTTAATGTGGCATTGAACTTGCTCGTGTGAAATAAGTATACGCATTTTAGGCTTTATTACCAACAACACTCAAAAAGCATAGGAGGAAAAGCGCGTGGCGTGTGTGAGTCCTTGGTTGGCAACCATTGCACCAGAAAACAACCGACTCTTTCTGATCACAAACAACAACAAAAAAACATCTGACACAACAAACCCTCTGACTGGCAGGGCGCCCACCTCGTGGCCCGCGCGCACAAAGGGACTGTCGAGCGGAGCGGTAGCAGCGGCGCGGTGGCGGCGCGCGAGCGGTGGCGGCGTCTGGCACGTTGCGTCACGCGCACAGCTGGGCCTACGAACCCCCCTCCCCTCCCCTTCCCCAAGCACGCACAACCCCGGAGGTATAATACCGCTCTGCAGCGAGCTGCGCCTACCTCCTCAAGCTGTCGTCGCGCTCTCGGGTGCGCCCCTGTCGTCGGGCCGTAGACCCTGCCCGTTAGGACAGTGGCCAAAGTAACCGCGCGATACGAGAAGGGGTTAATGCCGTCGTTGAGAGCAGTTGTGTCGAATCCAGACAAAATACTGTCCAAATCATTTAGTGAGGTGCGCTGATATTTCGTGGCAGTCCCTGATGATTGTTTAAAATGAAATCATATATTGCATTTTTGTTGTTTGAACTTCGTTATTTATTTTCTATAAATAATTTTCTTACATTAACATGGCTAGGAACGTACCTAATCACGTGTTCTTGACAATGATCGTGTAGCGAAAAATATCTGCTCTCGAGAAGTATTTGCAAATTTTCTCTTCGTAAGTTCTTTCTTCCGGCGGAGAAAGGAATTGCAACAGAAATATTTCCTCTCAATTGTTTCCTGTTAACGACTCGTATTTCCGAACGAGGAAATACCAACGCCTCTTTTTCGTGACTTCTTCACTTCCCTGACTGTGCGCTATCCTCATAACTGAACCCGTTTGGTAATTAATGTATGACAATAAAATGCATTTAATGTTTCGTCGAAAGTATAAAACAGAAATTATTTGTTGTTTTTATTCGAATGTCGTACAAAGCAACGAAATGTTTATTGGTCTGGAGGCATTTGATGCAGTTTGCAAACAACCCATTCAACACCCATTTCACTATGGATCCTCATAATTATGGTCTTTAATTTGTACCTGATTTTGAGACAGACAGTATGGGATGATGCACTTAATAATTTTGGATCTTCTATTAGCTCTTATGATTCTCTCAAAACATCTCCCAACGGCATTTTTTTTAATCCCCTCACATTTTAAATAACTGTCATTCGTTATAACATTTCTAGCCAAATCCGATTATATCAAATGACCTTAAAATATAGTACACACCGGTAAATACAATACATAACTATTTACACCATTCATCTATAATCTATAACAATCACATTTAAGCCATATAACACAGCTTGTGCATGTATATTGTTTACCGTTCTGTCTCGTTAGGGTACAGATGTTTAGTGAACACGCTTATGCCCAGTAACTTTTATCAATATTTCAATTAAAATTCATTTAACTTCATGAGAAGATATTCTAACAGAACTAAGACATTTGGGGATAAACCTCTTGATTTTTTTAATTGATATTTAATTGACAATCGCAAATGTTAGGCATAATTTCTTCCAGTCACAAGGCGACACAGCGTAGGAAAATTATTGTACCATTTCGAAATAGTAATATTAAAAATTGATTTGTATCAAAGTTTACGTTACATCGAATGCCAGGTTTCTTATGAAGTGTATTCTTCATTGTTAGTTAAGTGCACATCTACTCACATAAGAGTTCGCTTTCTCGTTTAGCTTTAACCATCTTACAGCATTACCAAACTATTTTTAAAAACTGTTTTGAAAGTTTAAATGGTCGAGATGTGACACATTCTAAGTAGTAGTTGACTGCCCGGTACTCGTTATACAAAAATATGATTAATAACTCCTAAAGTTGCATCAAGACGTAATGCATTATGCGTTTTCATTAAACAAGTAATATTATCGGCAAAAATCATTATAACAATTACTATTAACACACCATTATTAAAATATTAGAACAGAATATATAATGAAACGAAGAAAAAGGACAAACCACGATGTTAATTCGAACAGATTACTATTCAACAGATTCAAGTCTACAAAACCGCAATAATTTTTTTGGCAACTTGGGTAGCTTTTGTAAACACTGAAGAAAAGCGTGTTACTATTTTCCCGTTTTGCAACATTCCGTTAATTTGGCAATCACTATTGTAATATAGATAGCTCTGCACCGCATTGTTCTACTCCTAATTTCAAATGTTTTGGAATAACAATGCATTGCTTCATTTCTAAAACAACCGATAATACGAACCGTTTTTGAATGCGAGATTAAATAATGAGTCGACATTCCTGGCATGACACTCGATCCGCCAGAAAGTTAAGCAACCACTGAAAGTGAAAGGGGCGCACGCTGTCCTGTCAGAAGCGCCCCCCTAACAGGGAAAAAGTAAAGAGAGATTAACCGTAAAACTACCACAATCACTGTGTCCAAATATCATTTGTTATTCGCTTTACTTCCACAGAAAGTTTGTACTGGCTAGTGTCATTATCTGTTAACTTTCGAAGCTACACTCTTCACTCAAGAACGTAGCGAATATGAATGTGTTATTTCCAATATTACATTCGCTTTATTTGCACAATTTTCCAAAGAGCAACTTTCATTTTTTTGAAAGTGGATTGTAGCATCATAGAAAATTAAATACGAGAAACATCAATAAATTAAAATTCAACAAATGTCAAAACTGTCACTCCCATTAAACACTTTTTCAAATGACGTAATTAGGACACAGCATAGCCTATTTGATGAATTTATTCATAGGCAGTGGAAAAAATTCAAAATTACGGGAAATACCCATCATAGAAATCCGCGACAAAAGAAAATTTGTTAATAGTTTGTCGAACTGACTCTTAAAAAACGTGTCAGCTGAATTTCGAATCAACCGGAACGAGAAAAACAAAGCAATTAACTAAGAAGGTATATTAGTATCATAAATTTGACGTCTTCACCATGTTAGATGCTCGTATAAACCCTAAAGCAAAATATTATTCTAAAAATTAAACTAGAGGATCACTACGTTAAGAACACACAAAACACTAGGCTTAAAGGTAATGTTAATAAAAAACCATCTAATTTCACACACGCAAAAAACACAAAACCGTGCTAACTAGGTTTATAAAGAGCATCACAACACTAATTCTAAGCACAACACTGCTGCTGCCACGGGGGGTTACTGAGGCCACTCCATGCCACAGCACACAGCAGGCTTAGAACCAAAAGACGTCCGTACCTATGGAGTCGATAAAGAAACCCCACAAACCTTTGAACTTGCTGAGGTTTTCTTCGTAGCCCTGCTGGGTCTTCTCGTAGCCCAGGCCGTCGTTGAGGGCCTCGGCCGGGTCGAAGCCCAGGCGGTCTTTGTAGTACGCCTGCGTCGACATGCTGCTGCTCGCGGCGTTGGCGGCGCCGTTGCTACTGCATATTCCCGCGCTGTAGGCGGTGTGCCGGCTGTACGAGCGCTCCGTGGTGGCGCGGTGGATGGACGCGGGCGAGGGACGACCGGCGGGCTCGCGCCGCGACTCAAGACTCACGGACGGGGCGACTCGGCCGCTGTGCTGCTGCGGCAGGACCTTCGGCGGGCGGGGCGTACGTAACCGAGTGAATCACCAGCGGGCGAGCGCCTGGGTGCCGCGCGGCCGTCCGGATGTCTGCGGTGGCGGCTGCGCGGTCTGTCTGCCGTACGGTTCGTAGTGTTCGTTCGAGAGGCGCGTTGTCAACACGCTCGACTCGGTTCGTTTGTTGGTGCGTGGAATCGGGCGGGTGGCCGCGAGGGGAGGATCGGCTGGCGCCAGCGGCGGCCCGGGGGATGGCAGGTCCTTCTGTCTTCTGCTACTCCGGTTGGAAGGGGGGGGGCGAGACTGTCTTGGGAGGGAAGGAAGCGTGCGGGCGCCGCAAAGTCGAGCGGAACACTGATCCGCGAGCGGGTTAAAGCGCCGGGCGATGGGCGCAGCCGCGGGGCGGGGGGCGTGCGCGCGCCCTACGCACCGGGGCGACGGTCCGGGCGCGCTTGGCGTGGGCGACGAGGCCTACGCCGCCCCATGCGAAAACCAGTCCCGGGGCCCGTGGGCGGGCCGGGGGCACCCACTCGCCCCCCCTCCACACCTCCTCCTGACCCACAACACTCCGCACGCGGGGGCCCCCCTGTCACCTTAAAAGGTGGTCACCGCGATTTGACCCTTCTTGGCGACCGCGCACGGGCGCGCGCGACGTCACGCGTTGCGCGGTGGGGACGCGGGCCGTCGCCGGCGCGTGGGCCTCGGAGCAGACCGACCTCCGACGTCGCCGATTCACTCACTCCGCACACAAGCACACGCGCGGCGCGACACGACACGGCAGTTCTTCGGCCGTCACACGGCCACGTTCACCGCACTCCGCCTCGCGGTTGCGGGCCCTCGCATATCACACGCACTCACTGCACTGGGCGGGCCGCCGGCGGCCGAACAGCTGGCGGCGGAAAAAACGCGGTCGTCGCGGCGCCTGTCCACACCTGTTTCTGGAGCGCTGCAACCGTCCTCCCGCACCGGCTACATGGTCCGGGGCGACGCGGGGGCGCGGCGGGCAACGTCGCGGGGGCGGTCGCGGGCGTGGGCGGTGCGTGGTCGGGTTCGATTCCGCCCCGCGCTTCTCTGCCTACGTGTACGGGCGGCTTTTCGGCCCACACTCCCTGCCCACCTCGCGCGTCTGGCGGCGGTGGGGGCGGCGGCGGCGCGCTCTCGCTGGCTCGGCGCACCGGTCGGCCGCGGTGGAGGGGGCCCGCGCAAAGCACTCGGCTCGTGAAGACACTCCTTCCGCCCACCTCGCCGGTACCTCCCGGCCCGGCGGCGCTTATCGCGCGAAGTACTGTCGCCGCCACCGCCGGCAACCCCTGCGTGTCACCCTCGTTATCACCCGACGCCAAGGGCGCGCGGTAATCCCGCCGCTGAAGCGTTTATTAAACAAACGCCCGCGCCGGAGACGGGTTGCTGGCTCGAGTACACCGCGGCGCGCTCTGTGGAGGGGCCGGCGAACTCGCAGTAGAAAAGGCGGCCGGCGCGAGGCTGAAGGGGTCCGGCGCGCGGCGCGGAGCGGAGCGGCGCGACGGGGCGGGCCGGCGGAGTCAATTACCGCCCGGGAAGGCGGTCAGTAGTTGAGGGAGAGTGCCGGCCGGCGCGGCGAGCGCGAGCTTGGGCTGCGGCGCAGGCGCCAGATTCAAACGCACGCGAGCGCCCGCCATGGAAGATCCGTCGTGGACGAAACACACCGTTGTACTTTTTTTTATTAATTGTTCATTACGTTGCCGATTCATTTAACGTAGACGCTGAAGCATCTACCGGTCACGCATAGGGTTCGGGTTTCGAATCCCACGTAGCTTATATTTCCGAGAAAAATATAAGATTTTTTTTAAAAAAAAGTTTGTGATGCTGAATTTTCATAAACACTCCGAATTTTTTAGCATGTTATTCAAGCTGAAATAGTACAGCATGTACTGGCCAGGCGGTTGTGGCGACAACCATTCTGTGCAAGGCTTCTGATGGAAATCACATGCAATATTATCAATCACATACAATACAAAACTACCACGTACTCCATACGTCATTCCCATGCTCCATACGCCAGTCAACACCTGGCATTTTCGTAAACAATGAATCCATAATTTAAATATGAATACTCAACCTACAACATTTTCTCAAGGACATGAATGGAACAGAAATATTTTTTGCATCTTATGAAAATAAATCCCATATACGATTAGGAGAGAAACCGGTAGACCTTTTCTCTGATCTCAAATATTACTTAATGTGAAAGTGAAGATCTATTTTTTCCCTCTTAATCTGTAATGGATTGAGGCATATTGATTTGGAAATCGTCAGACAAAAGTCACTTCTTCACTTCGCAAGTCGGGGATTTATCGACAAATTTTCAAATCACTCGTGTCATTACCTAAGACACAATCGGCATTAAACGAAGTTAAGGTCATTACAATAAATAATAATAATAGTAATAATAATAATAATAATAATAATAATAATAATAATGACGACAGTAAGAATAACAAAATCAAAGGGCTCCAGACTCATGACATACACCTGCCGACAAACTTCGCTCGAATGCCTCCGGAGAGGGCGACAAAAGCGGAGAGGAAGTGGGCGGGCAGACGCGGAAGGCGAAAGCGAGAGTAACAAGGCAGCACCGAACTGCCTCGCGCGGACGTCACACGGAGACAGGTGAGGTCGGCGCGGGAGTGGGGCAGCCAAGAACGAAAATGGAAGCGAGCGGAAAGCGAACATTTCATCCGTCCTTCGAAATGGCTATATAAGGGCCATTCGCTCGAGGCCGTCCTGATGGAGCCGAACGATCAAACGAGTTCGATTGCAGTGTATCCAGCGTCTGCTCACGATTCCATTTCTTTTAGAATACCAAAATTTCTCGCAACCCAGTTCCAAAAGATAGTAATCGAATATCGAATCATGAGAATTCTTTACCATATTAATGGAATACGTGTACAATAATATATCGAAAAGAAGTCAAGACTAAAGAATGGCGATGAATCCGTCAAAAACCGGAAAGCGTCTGACGAATTAAATCAGGGAGAGTATCATCTTTGTTCATAAACGCGAAAAAAAAGTAAGTGAAATTATTTTAAGATACAACATGTATTTATAATGTTATGTTACGTACATTCAAGTCAAGCAATCATTTTGCACCGTAAAGAGAGATTTACAAGGAGGTATAATAAAGGGGTTTTAAAAGTGTAGGATGCTATGAAGAAAAAAGGTCTTAAAAAGTTTTTTGATTCGCGATATGTTGTCCAAACTATTTTCGAAATTCGAAAGTGAGATTATAGTTATTTCCACAAACACGTATTACTATGTCGTCATCATCTTCTAGCAACAAAATAATTGGAATAGTTGGAAAGTAATGGTTTTACTTTCGCTTATTCAACAAGGAAAAAAATTACTACTTTACTGAAACGAAATATTCTCTTCGACTTTCCCAGCTCTTCAGACACAATGTATGAGCCGGCAATATCCCTTTCATGTCGTCGCACAGAAGGGGTAACTCCCTTTACTATACTCATTATCTATCATCATGAATGCAAGGAGTACATGTCTGAGCTTATCCAGCCGTAAAACAATCCACGATGTTACAAGTTGCAGTGAAATTGCGAAACGTAAACGTAATATCACGTGATCGAGAAAAAAAAGCTTACGATCTACAGCAGAACATGAATCACGTAACGGTATGTAGCCATTCAAAAGCGCAGCTCCCATAAAGAATAGATCGTATCGTTTGCCGATTAAGCACGGTAATTATTTCCAGCGCTGGCGATTGAGATACATTTTCTTAGTGATACTGACCGCTGTTTGTTACGTTATAGCGTTCAAGAACTCTTTGGCAATCGGAATCACGTATGTGTAACTGTGGTGGCTGAGGTGATTCACGCTTTCCATCATCGTGTCTCGGTCGCTTTTCGTGGTTTCCGCTGATTCTTAGAGCATGTATCTAAGATCTATTGGCTCAGGACAATGAGATACATCACACAGTTTTGAGCTTCAACGTGGAAGTAAAAATTACACGAACAATCATGCTTATTTAAATTGCACTTCCTCCACAGTTTCAGGAGTTTCATTATTAAAACTCTTTAAGCTCTAATAGACGATCATATCGGTTTGGATACTCACAAGGAAACATTGACAGATGTCCCACTCCGATTTTCTTAAATTTAGGATACGTTGTAAGAGATGAATAATAGTTTTTTTTATCTCCTCTATTTAAACGTTTTGAAAGGTGCACTTCTCTATTCGTTATGATGAGGATTAAACTTCTCCCAAATATGAAGTTAGGTTTCGGAAATCCTGCATAATGTAACCAAATAAAGAGATTTTTAATACAAAATTTATTTAAATTCCTTTAAAAGAAAATTCATGTGTTTTCATATTTTGTATGTACATTTCGAATTGAAACTGGTCTTCTTCAAAATATGTTCTAGGTACAGCTTTCTTTAATAACCTAAAATCCTAAATCACTTTTCTTGTGCCTTAAGATACGCACATCGCCATTGGTTGATACGAAGGAGAGGTGAAGGCATAATTGTTAGCTTTAAGAAGATTAGTATGGCGTGAATGCTGCATGAAGAGAACATACTAAATAAACGAAGCTTAAATTAAAAGCGTTAACTTTTATGAAACTCAAGGAACTGGGTACTTTCTTTAGTTACAGAATGGTTTCGTTCTATGGAGAGCTACACGCCAACCCAACCCACCAATGTCTACTTTTTAGGGCGATTTTCATTATAAAGAAGCTAGTTCCAGACAGTTTACACTGTACGAATTAAGTGCAGCGAGATCATTATTGTACTATAGCATCGCTATTGACACAGCCAACTCTGAATTGGCTTCGC